TCTTCGCAGTCTTCAGAAAGACCTGGAGTTTGGGCACGTTTTCTGAGGAGAACTACTTCCAGAGTTCGATAATATTATTGCGGCAGCCTTTTTTACCCCGCACATTTGACTGATGTCGATTTCCGAACTCGTAAATTTTATACATTTCTTTGCCTCTGTGGTTACGATATTATGACTGTAAGGCACAGTAACATCTACGAGTAGACACGATTTTTATCCACATCCTGTTTGTTTGCCGCTATCGCAAAGGCGACTTCAGAAACAATTTTGAGGGGGGGATAAAATTCTTGAATGAGAATATGCAATAAGCAAGCCATATGCAATAAAACAGTGAATATAGTGGAACAATGAATATAGATGGAGGAAAAAGCATTCTTCCATCACGGAATAGATGCACCCTAGAGGCGAATGTTATATTTTTGTATGAAATGTAAATAGGAACAGTATATAGATTAAAACATAAGCTCATGTAAGTGTACTTGTGTCCTAATGTAACTAGAAAAGACTGTTATGTTTATCACTGTAATGTGTATTTTGTAAATAATTACCCCGAAAATACCTGAAGAACCGAACGAGGAGGAAATAAAATGTTAAAAAAATCGTATCACCCAAGAAAACTTTTCCTAAGTACCCGTCATCGATTTCGGGCTGTTCCAGCCCTCCCTAGATATATTCAGGGGGGTTAGCTGCACCCGTAGATAGCCGTCATTTGCATTTTTCACATTTCCAAAGCATTGTGCTTACGACAACAACACATTTGGATACACTGTAATAGGACATAGTTCTCAAATATCCCTAAGCAATGAAGGAATTTACTGGACATGGAATGGCGGGCTTTTTAAATTATGAAATCGCAGAATGAACAACTTCTTTAACATCAAATACTATACAAAAGGAAAAGAACGATGGATGTGTATTATTGGGAGGGGAGGGGACAGTGCTCTCTTGACCCTCCCTGCCGCAGTCGCTACTTATCGTACGATAAGATTGGATATGTTGGTCGTAAAAAACTTTACACAGTACAACAAACATTATAGGTTATCAAATTTGGACTACTTAAGAGTATGTTTAATTAAATATCAATGTAAATACATTTTGTCGTTTTCCAATTTAAGATAATATATTCTTACTGTATAAGGTGCTTAATATGCCCATCCCAATGCCTCTTTTGAAATGTAAACCTTTTTATTCATAATAATAACAATAATAATAATAATAATAATAATAACAACAACAACATTTTAGTTTATCTATTTGTAATATAGTTATTCAAGATCAACGATTTGGCAAACTGTACCGCATGTTACGAAAAATCTGATCAAAGAAGAAAATGATTAGCAAGGCGGATGGTTGTACTGAACGCTGATACGAACGTAATATCTACTTAGTCTACGGTAAGTTGCGCAAACATTTGTCAGAGTTCAACTATCAATTAAACGGTAACATCGACTACTACTTGAATTACATTTTTATTACTTACATTTACCATTTCGAAAGATGGCTTCTGTAAATGTTTCTAGCTGTTGTGGGGTTGTTTGGTTAAAGTGAGGTACAGGGAATCTATTATTCAGCGAGCAATGATGATTTCAACAGAAACAACATTGGAGAGTAGAGAATTGCAAATTCTTAATATTTTATTGTACAAAGTACATCATACATTTAATACTGATTACATTAGCACAAGTTCACTCACAAACATTTCCTGAATTTTATTTACACTCCGATATAAAGGAAGTGGCACTACATGGTCACGAGCTTAACAGAGGAGGGCACACTCTCATCCAATCGGGAGCTTCATTACAACTCAAATTTTTGGTACTGGAGTTCCCGACTGGATGACAATGTCCATTTCTCATTCCAGCTCATGACTTTGAAGTGCCATTATGTTCGGAGTATATTTCAATAGAACACCCAAATGCGCATCCACGTACACACATGTGTCACATACATACATATACAAATATATACTATACATACTTTTCATCAGTATGTTCGTCGATAATACTCTCAACATCATTTCGAATGTTGTTTAGTATTATTTATTCACTTTATGTTTGCGGGATGCCTGAAATAGAACTACTATTCAGAAAATACAGATTGGATCACGTTGTCGACAGTTTCAAACTATTACTGAATCGAGTCGATTCTTGCATTGTGTTTACGCAGTTAACGTGAACGGCAAAAATTGAAGATCTCAATGTTGAACCATAATGAAAATACTACTCCGTTATTAATAATGTGGAATTTGTCAAAAAGTGAGTAGTAATAAGATAATGTTAAATGTTATTGCCGACAATTATTATTAATTATATTACTTTCTATTAATTTTCTTGTTCATACCGAAACCCTATAACTTTTTTTCCAAGTTTGATTGAAGCTATAGTGCCCTATCCCCTGGATGTATCAGTAGGCATGTCGAGTAGGTACTTGAGGTACATAAACAGTAGCGCTACTTTCAGGATCGGCAAACAAAATGAATTACAATGAAACAATGGTCGAAGGGAAGAATCATTAGCTTATGCTATTCGTATGTCGATTTTTCTTAGATTGGTGAAACTCTGATATAAATACTTGATTAAAACGACAGGGAACATTTCCTAATACAAGTTTACTTTCAATTTTAACTTCGACGAAAGTACTTCCGAACTTTTTTCATGGGTATAATGCTGTGGGCAACTACAATTGCCTCACAAGAAAAATTAAATTTATGAGTACATAATGATGAGAGTACTAAAAACCATTACTCTATAAAGTTAGACCATTTATCATAAATGCTTCCTCCCTTCAACCACAGCAGATTGCATATTTTTGAGGACTCATTTTCACAGTGCTTTTCAGGACTCATTTTCACAAGCTTTTTCAACAGATCTGGAAAGTAGATTTTTTTTTACTAAACAAAAGAACATAATTGTGATACTTTTCAAACTGATCACATTGCCTTAATGTAATATATTTTCTACGTGTAACGACATATTTTTTGCAACTCTTTTGAGTGAACAAAAATAGAAGTATCTGTTAAGTTTTCTATTGCCAAAGTACATTCAATCTCATCACATTGCCTTAATATAATATATTTTCTACGTGTAACAACATATTTTTTGCAACTCTTTTGAGTGAACGAAAATAGAAGTATCTGTTAAGTTTTTTATTGCCAAGGTACATTAGAACAAGATTTCAGTTGTATTTATTTACACCACACTATACGTATTTAAACAGTAGCCCAGCTCCATGTTAAATATTCTATGACGTGTTCGTCAGCGACGCTAGCGATCCGCGCGGCGATGAAGGAATACTACGTCGTCTTAAAATTCGTAATACATCGTTCTGATAAATATAAGCAAAAAGTAATTTTTAATACATATTTTCATTTCTTTATATAACTACATTGCATGTAACTAAAACAACATTTTTGTTTTGAACGATTTTGAAGGAAAGAAATGATTTAAATCTGAATGGTGTCCATTAAAAGTGAAAGTGAAATGAGGAAGAACAAGTATTGCATACTGTTTATGAAAGTGTCTAAAAATGTAAGTAATCTAAGTAATAAATAAAGATATCTAGAAGGGAATAACATTTCTGTTCGGAGATAAATTTCCGTCTTTCCATTCTAGGTCTATTGAACAAGTAACAAAAAAAACTTAACTCAGGATTCTATCCTTCATTGTTGCTGCATTTAAGTGCAGAACATAGCGCTCCTTTCAACAAACGCATTGTTGTTAATGTGAAAATGGCAAAGTATACGAAAACAGTTGGTGCATATCAAATATGTTCCGATACATTTCGAATGTAAGGTTAAAGCGTTGCTTCGATGTAATATTATGTGTTATTTAATAACTTGCCCTTAAAAGCGTAGGAATATAAAACTACAAGGTCAATAAATAATACGAATTATCTCTTAACTTTTTAACGAGCTCTAAATAAACTCAATTTCACAAATAAAAACGTATAATTCAGTGGCAGCTATCCGTAGTTTTACTTGATTCTCACCACGATCGCTCGCTGTATGCCCGCACATCCCTAACAAGCAAAAAAAAAAAAAAAAAAAGGGCTGAGCTGCGCTACTGTATAAAATATGTATACTGTGTGAACACTTTCTCCAAGTACGTGAAACTCGTGGCATGAGATCCACAACGAATACCTTTGTTGCTCAGCCACACGCTCTGGATCAAAACTTCTTGCAGATGCATCTGTTAATCCCTCAGAAATTTTAATCGGCTTATAGAGTGACCACGTGCCCTGCAAGAAGCTTATAAGAAATTGATACAAGTACAGCTGTACGACAAAAATCTACAAGTAGATTTGCATCTGCAATGTAAACATTAAAGGAATATTCTGTTTCTCATTTAGTAACAAGCCCGTTTGTGAAGAGAGTTCGCGGGCAAAACGTTTAACAGTTCTGACTAATCACATTCATGAAGGCATAGATCTGGATATCACTTACATCCTGATTCGTTTCTTCAACATGTTCTGATATAGATATATTTTGGTTGGAAGATCTTTAAAAAATACAAAAAGTGACTGATTTATAACAAAATATTTACAAAAATGTGCTGGAGAACACATTCGTTTTTAAAATGGACAGTCTCAGAATGTATCAAAATGTTAAGTATTGGGGTAAAAACCAACATTGCATGAAAATACTAAATGAACCTTTCACTCATTTTTAACACATTATCACAAATTCCATCCAAACATGCGTCCAGATATCAGAGTCTGATATAGAAAAAGTTTGTATGATAAACAAATTGCATGTATTTGGCCAGACGTATCGTCACCAATATGTTTTTGCGCAACCTTACGAGCCACCTTCGTTGTAAAAAAACAATTTTCAAGGTTCCAGCATCTCATTTTGGTAAAATAATGATAATGAACTTCATAACGAAGGTCCCATTCAGACAACATTCGAACTCGTTTGTGCAAACATAGCTAATAAGCTAACAATGCTTATATAAATTCCACGCGCCCTTTCATGGTACGTCTCAACATTTATTGCTGTGTGCCTTTGTCAATATAAGGGCACCGTGGTTAGTGACCCCCGTATCAACAAGTTGTGATGACGATTAGTCATCAATGGTTTAACAATCACTGCGCTTTCAGCTTCTTTGCTGTAACGAAAGACGGCAGAAGTAGTCGCACAGCGCGTTTGGCGGTGACCACGAGAAGCACTAATGCAGCTGCGTACAGAGCGATGACGTCCAGAAGGAAATACTGCACTAGCGACATCTCTCGGGCGGGAGACAAAAGATGTTCGGCGCCGCGGTGCCGAATCACGTACTCGCTCCAGTAGATGGCGCGTTGCAACGGCGTCTCTGGTTGGTCGCGGAGCAGGACAGACCGCTCCCTGGCGGCATTACGATACCTGGAAACACGATTTTGATTTGGAGATGGGGTTTGGTGCCCAAACTTCCGTTGAAAGAAATAAAAGAAAATAAAAAAGAGAACAGGAGATTCACACAACGATCTAGAATATTACGTAGAGTGGCTGAAGCGCCTCCATTTTGAAGCAAATTGAACCCATGGTTTTTGCAGAGCCCTCTTTTCTCAACTAAGTATTCTATACTGCGATTTATGCAACTCTGCCCCTCGCAGGTCTCAGCTGTTCACGGATTAATCCAATCGAGAGCTTGAACGCCATAACGTGGTGACGTTTAAGCTACTGATTGGATGAAACAGTCAACAGCTGATACCTGCCGGGGGCAGAGATGCGAAAATCGCAGTATAGAATTACGTTAGACGCTGATTGCAGACGGTTAAACCGCCACTCGCACCAAAAAAATGATTATCTAACATATATCAATACGAATATAATTTGATTCGTGTTTTTACGGTCGTCATGATCAACGTTACCTCAATATCTCAATATCAAAATACAAATGATAAAATGGAAACGAATACATATCAATTAGCTTCATTCATTTCCGTGAAAACTACTTTGCAATAATTTCAGCCGTTCAAAAATTACAGGTGATAAAGGTACGTTACTCATTCTGTATATAATTGTCGTATGGTTGTCATAATTAGGGGGCGGATTTTAATGCAATGTCATTTTTTTCTTTTCACTTTAAGAAAATGTTGTTTAGTATAGACATTCATTTTATGTTTTGACATAACGAAGTGGCCCGTTTTATGTCATTGTTTAGCATTTTTTGTTGATTTTGACTAATACGTCATTTTTTACCTTTTTACGACATTTTTAATGATTTTTTCTGATTTAATTGATTATAATATCATTTTAATGGAAATTGCTTCAAGTAATATTCATAAGGTGCAGAATGCCTGAGTAGCCTATTCGATTTCTTCGCTCACATATACATACATACATACATACACATACACACATATTATATATATTGAAACGAAGAACGTTTCTACATAATAATTAGCAAAACTGTTATTAATTATAAGAAGAAAAATTAACCCCAAAATTAATAAATATTGAATTCAGTGGTTCTACATTTAAAATTACGAATTCAGTGGTCCCTGAGGTTTATGATTACGTAGTATATTTGAATGGTTCAGCTGTTTTTAAAAAATACGAAGTTTCACTTCTTCGCTGAAGTTAAAATGGAATTCAGTGTCCGCCTGATTTAAAACGATTGCTTTCAATGCTTCGATGAATTTAAACCATGCATTCAATTTGTCCTTAAATTAAATATGAATAATCAATGGTTCACTGAATTTAAAATCAATTCAGTTTCGTTGAATTTGAAATGAATTTAAGTTTGCTGAAATTAAAATAAAATTCGGTTTCGCTTGAATTTGAAATGAATTAAGTTTTGCTGCAATTTAAAATAAATTCGGTTTTTCCGTGAATTAAAATCATTCAGTTTGCAGTTAAATTTAAAATGAATTCAGTTTCGATTGAAATAAAAATTAAATTCAGTTTCGCTTGTGATAAAAATAAATTCAGTTCGCTGAATTGAAATAATTCAGTTTGTTGAATTTATTAATGAATTCAGTTTCGCTGAATTTAAAATAAATTCATTTCGCTTTGAATTTTAAAATAAATTCATTTCGCTGAAAATAAAAATAAATTCAGTTTCGTTGAATTTAAAAGCAATTCCAGTTTCTCTGAAGTTAAAATAAATTTCAGTTTCGCTGAAATTTAAAAATCATTCAGGTTGCTAAAAATTTAAAATCAATTCAGTTTCGTGAATTTAAAATGATTTAGTTTAGCTGAAATTTAAAATCAAGTCGGTTCGCAGAATTTAAAATCAATTCGGTTTTCATTGATTTAAAAAATCCGATTCAGTTCGCTGGAATTTAAAAACAAAATTCAGTTTCGACTGAATTTAAAACGAATGCAGTGTTCCGGTGGACGCGCAGCGCCGAGTCGAGCGGCGTGAGCGAGCGAGGGAGCTGACGCAGGGCGTTGCAGGACCTGGAGAGTGGGTGTCGGGCGCGCCGGGGGCTTCGTGTACCGTGTCGATGGGCGTCGAAGCGTGCGCGCCTCCAACATGCCCGCCGAGCTGCGCTAGCCTGCTGCTGGCCGACGCGCTGGGCCGCCTTGCCCTTCGCGTGCTGTGGGAAGTGGGACGGCGGCGCGCCGGCGCACCGCCCACCTGCCGCCCAACGTGCGCAACGGGGGCCACTGGTTCCCGCAGCAGACCTCCTCGCGTGAGCGGAGCCCTCTCGCGCGGGGATGCGCCGGGTGGGATTCGCTAGAGGTCAACTGCAGGATCCGGAGCGATTTTCAAAGGTTTGCTAGGGTTTCAATACAGCGGTTTGCTAGGTATTCAATGCATGCGTTTGCTAGGTTTTCATATGCATGGTTGTAGGTTTTTCAATGCCAGGATTTGCTAAGTATCAATGAAGGATTAGTTTAGATAATCAATACAGATTTGTTAGGTATTCAAATGCCAGACTTACTGGACTTTTCAATGCAGTATTTGAAGTTTTCAAAGCTGGGCATTTCGCGCAGGGTTGCGAAGCAGGATTCGGTAGGTATCAAAGGTTTGCTAGGTATTCAATGCATGATTTGCCAGCGTAATCAAGGCAGGATTTGCTAAATATAAATGGAAGGATTTTTTAGGTACTAAATGAAAGGTTGGCTAGGGTTTCAAATTACAGGGTTTGCTAGGTATTCAAAGCAGGGATTCGGTGTACGATTTTCATTAGCGGGATTGCGCAGGTTTGCGAAGCAGGATTCGCGTAGGTATTCAAAGGGTTTTGCTAGGTTCAATACACATTGCTAGGTTTGCAATGCATGGTTTACTGGTTTATCAATTGCAGGATTGGCTAAATATTTTCAATGAAGGATTTAGTTAGATAATCAATACAAGGATTTGTTAGGATTCAATGCAGGAATTACTGGACTTTCAATGCAGGGATTTAAGGTTTTTCCCAAAAGCGGGATTCGCGCAGGTTTGCGAAGCCAGGATTCGGGGTAGCGTAGTCAAAGTTTGCTAGGTATTCAATGCAGGATTTGCTAAATATTGAATGAAGGGATTTTTAGTACTAAATTGAAAGGTTTGCTAGGCGTTTCAATACAGGGTTTTGCTAGGTATTCAATGCAGGATTCGGACGCATTTTCATAGCCCGGGATTTGCGAGGTTGCGAAAAGGCAGATTTCGCGTAGGTATTCAAAGGTTTGCTAGGCGTATTTTGAATACCACGATTTGCTAGGTTTTCAATCATGGTTTAACGTAGGTTATTGAAGCAGGCATTGGCTAAATATTCAATTGGAAGGATATGTTAGATTAACAATACAGGATTTTTAAGCGTATCAATTGGAAAAGGAATTAACTGCGAACTTTCAATGCAGGATTTGAAGTTTTTCAAAAGCGGGATTCGCGCAGCGTTTGCGAAGCAGGATTCGGTAAGGTTAATCAAGGTTGCTTGGTTTCAAACAGGATTTGGTAGCGTTTTCAATGCATGTTTGCTAGGTTATCAATGGCAGGATTGGCTAATGTATTCAATGAAGGTGTGGCCGTCCGTTAACCACGAGGGCCAGAAAACCGTTAGTCGTTGCGGTGAAAGTACGCTGCGGGGAAGGAAGGTGTTAGCCGAACATCCCGGGAGTTGCGCTCGGGCGGTTGACTCAGGTAGTTGCCGCAGAGCCAAAAATACCGGAGGCCTGTAAACTCCGAGGATGCTGCGGCGAAGCCTCGTTTACGGAAGCAGGCAGCCCAACCTGCAGAACTCTTTGTGTGGCTATACGTAAACCAAAAGCTTGCCTGCGAGCCTCGCCGCCAGCCGGCGGGCCTATCTATGGAACATGGTGGAGGTGTCAGCCTTCAACTATTTAACTCGGCGCCATCTGCGCCCGAATCCGTTCTCATTCAGTTTGCATCGGAAGCTTGTACGGGTATGTACAAGGAGGGTGTAGGAGTGAGGGCGAGATGTCCGCGAGAGTAAGCGGCCAGACAATCCTCACGTGCTGTAGGCACACGGTCGCCACGACCGCGGTTTTAAAACTTTTGCGTCAGGCCATGTGACCGTAATTGGTCACGCGGACAGAGGTCCGACCGGCGCGGCATTCACGCGTGCTTGTGTTTCTGCGGAAGGCAGTGTCAGAAAGGAAAAGGTTGCCGGGAGTGTTTTAATATTAGCAATTCATTGTAACTAGTACATAATCTTTGAATATTATTATTTTTATTTTGTTATTGATATTCTATCTCTTATTTCACTACGTCACAGAAGGATTTTTAGTATTCAATGGAAAGATTTTTCTTGAATTTTCAATACAATAATTTGTTAGGTATTTCAGTGCCAGGCATTCGAATGTTTTTCAAAGCGGGATTCGCCGACGGTTTTCAAAGCAGGATTCGGTAGGTATTTTCAAAAGCGTTTGCTAGGGTTTCAGGGTTCGTAGGCTTCCGCGGCCGGAGGCCAATGCATTCTTGCTATCCGGATGAGCCGCGTCTCGGTTCATTTTGTAGTCACAGGCTCTGAAGAGGCCACAGCAAGATGGTCGAAACGTCAGTACAATTGAGCAGTACGCCAGGAGAGAGAGGTAGGCAGCAGCGAGGATAAACAGCATGGGCCCGCAGAGAACATTAAATAGGTTGTGAGCGAACCGTGATATAGGTAGAGGAGGAGAGAGTGTAGAGACGGCAAGAGCTCTCTCTCTCTCTCTCTCCTATCTCTCCTCTCTCTCTTCTCTCTCTCTTTCTCTCTATCTCTCTGTCTTCTCTCTTTTCTCTTTCTCTTTCTCTTTGTCTCTTTCTTTCTCTTTCTTTTCTCCTTTGTCTCTTTCTTTCTCACTCTTTCTCTCTCTTCTCTCACTCTTTTCCCTCTCCCCTTTCTTTCCCTCTCTTGTCTTTCTCTCTCTCTCCCTCTCTCTCTTTCTTTTCTCTTGCTCTCTTTCTTTCCTCTCTTTCTTTCTTTCTCCTCTCGCTTTCTCGCTCTCCCCTCCCT